ACCGGGGGTAGAGGGAGGCAGGGCTGAGGCAAGCAGAAGATGGGGGTGGTAGAGATGGGGAAGGCTGGGAGGGGGCACTTGTTTCTGTGGCCTGAGCACACTTGTCCCTTTGCAGCATCACCCTTGACCATCATCTCCCTTGAGTCTGCAGCTCAGCCTCTCGGCCCTGCCGCCATCTGTCCCAGCTGGCCCGGCAGCTTCCCCGAGGGGGATTTTGTCACAGATAAAAGTGGGTGGGGTGGGGGAGGGCAGGGGGTGAGACATGATGGGAGTAGGGAAGAAGAGTGTGCGCCATTGAGAAGGTTCCCCAGGATGGGGTGGAGTGGAGGTCACCCATCTATGTCCCAGCTGAAGAGATGGTGTTTCACAAGCATGTCCTGCACCCCTTCCTTCAGCGGCTTCTTGTGGGATGACACAGAGACCCAGGTCAGCACACCACACCCAGAAAAGGGCAGGTTGTGTCTGCGGGCAGAGCCCAAGCGCACTGAGGTTTCGGGCAGCCAGACAGAGCAGCCTTCTGCACTTTCCACCTCTGCGCAGCTGAAACAGGGAGAGGCCCTGTGGTTTGGAGAGCACCGGGGAAGGAACAGCCTGCCACTTCCCTCTGCCCCAGCCGGGCAGGGGCAGGCAGCACCTGCTGCCAGAACTGCCACGCAGCTCCCACCCACAACCTGCCCTGGCGGGGAAAGCAGCCCCATCCACAGCCGCTGGTGCCAGCTCAAGATGAGGCAGAGGATGGGCTGGAGCACAAAGCCGGAAGAGGGAGGCAGTAAGCGAAGCTGAGGGAGAGAATGAAAGACGCCACCTACTCACCTCCCTCTTTATTGGCAGCTCCCAGTCCTGAGAGAGGCTGAAGGCAAATTTGCAGAGGACTCTGCAATAGAAGACAGCAATGGTAACACACCCCAGCCTGTGCCCACAGCTGCTGCCCCCAGGCACATGACTGCGCTGGCTCCTCAGCTCGCCCCAGCACACCGCTAAGCTTTCAAGGATGGAAATCCTCGTTTGTTGGTGTTGAAAGGGCAGCACTGGTCACTCATGTTCTGTTTCCCCCCTCCTTTTTGGGCCTCACATCCCACCAGGTCCAGGCTGGGAAGAGAAGCCTGAAGATGTGACTGAAGTGCAACCCCTACAGAGCCCAACACAGCAGCGCAGGGAGGCACGGGCAGCCCCCGGCTCTGCTGGACAGCAGAGACTCGTGGCTGAGGACTGCACAGAGCTGGCAATGGAGGGGTTGCAGGTTCCTCTCCAGAAAGCAGACTCCTGCCAGTAGCACCTCAGAGTTTCCACATCCCCTTCTCTCTCTTTCCCCAGAGTAAGAGAAGTGTCTGACCCTCCACACAAGTGCCACATGGAGATGGCACATGGGGCTCCCTCGCTGGACCAGCTCAGGGATGCAGAGCTCAGACCTCCTGGCAACAAGCTCGTCAGTCTTTCAGGCTCAGGGAAAAGTCCCGCAGCAGTGAGGGAGCTGAGGCCCTCCGCAGGAAGCTGGCTGGGAGAAATATGGCATAAGCCTCCGCTCCTGCTCCCCGCAAACCCGGGCTCAGCCATGAACCAGTACCACTTGGTCATTTGGCTGTGCTGTGACAAAGCAGCTGCATGACACTGCAGCACAGAGGTGGAGGGGGATCCCTTCCTCCCATTCAGCAGCAGCACAAGGAGAGCAGGGCACCCCAAGGTGCGTACACACAGGCCTGCTCCTGGCTACAGACGCTTCCACTGGGGCCAGAGGCAAGTGGGTAGCACGGATGAAAGCCAATTCCTGCAGGACAGCACCAGCAACAGGGCTGGAGTGGTGGTGGTGTGTGTGGGGGGTTTGTTCTGCAGCTCCCTGGGAGTGGATGTGGGTTTGCAGAGCGCAGGAGGGCCAGGAGCACCCAGTGTGGGTGTTGTCTGCCCTGGGCTCCGAGCGGTGTGCTTTGTGCCAGCTCAGCAGCCTTCAGCCCGACACCGCTCCCTCCCCTAACCAGGGGTCAGTCGGTGAGTGACTCCTTCCTGGCCAGCGACAGCCAGACTGCCTCCCTAGCACATTCCCTTTTCTCTGCTTGGACTCGAGGGTGGCTGGCAGGGGACCTGGAGAGCAGGGGTTGGAAAATGCACCACCAGAGAGTAGGTGCAGGGCACAACAGGAGGCTGCTGGCAGGCAGAGGCTGCCTGCTTGTCACAACAGCTCCCCAGGAGCCAGGCTCTGCTCTTGATCAGGCAGGCACAGTGCATCACATTAAACTGTCTAGACAGTTGCTGCTGCCTCAGCACACAGAAGGAAATCTCTGCAGTGGGGATGTCTGAGCACGCTGCTACTCGCTGGAGAGGGTCCAAGGCCAGCCATAGTGAGGGTCACCTCCTGCAGGGGAGGAGGAAATCCATTCCAGACCTTGGCAAGGCCCAGGGGGACAGACTCACCTCAGCTCACATTTGATCTGCACCCAGCCGGGACTGCGCAGGAATGACCAGGGATGGAACCACTTCTCCACGGTCTGCAGGCTTGAGCACAGCACCTCCAGCCACAAATGCAGCACCTGCTCACTACAGCGATGCAGTGGAGACAATGTTACTTTGCTGAAGTTGGGGAAAGAAGCCCCATCTATTTGGGGTAGTCTATTTTCAGCTCAAGCCCTGATCCCAGCCCGCCATCCTGTGCCCAGTGGGAACAAGATATCCCAGTAAACTCCTATGAGCCACTTCATGCAATGAGAGCTGCTTCTTCCAGCCAGGAGGCAGGTCAGCATGGTGAATAAGAAAGGAACAGGTCCCACTCACAGTGGCTGCAGTGAGAGGGGAAAAAGACCCTGTGGCCTAAGGTAGACGGAAACAACTGCTGCCCTTGAGCCTGCCCTGCCCCCTCTCAAGCTCCTCGAACCCACAATGCCTAGGGTATCAGGACTGGATGACTCACTTGAGTCCAACGCAGATGAGGGAACGAAGCTTCACGTCCATCTGTGCATGTGCAGCATCGTGTGTCATGTTCACTCCCTGAACTGCCTGCAGGATGGGAAGATATGGTTACAACCTTCTCAGCTTAGCCTTAAGGCTGAGCTGGGCAGCCACTTCAGAAACACAGCCAAATACTGCCCCACCCAGAGCTCCTCACCCTCACCCAGTGCCATGTGCTAGCATCACAGGGGCCGAGCCTTCCCGATGGCTTCACCTTCTGCCTTTCCCCAGGCACCTGGTGTTTCTACTCCTTCCCATCAGGGAAGGTCTGGGAGACTCTCGAGCATCTACCTAGGGAGGGACATCACCCTCCGGCAGCCTTCATGGGAAACTTCCCCACATTAGGAGCTGGGCTCTGGCTGGGCTGGGGCAGCACTCACCCGGTAAAGCAGCTCCTCTGGAGTGAGGACTTTGCCGTCTTCATCAAGCCTGCAAAGATCATGGCAGAGAGCTAGATAGCTCCGGAGCCACACCACACACCAGCAGACCTTTCCCCCTCCATACCCCAACAGCTCTCTTGCTACTGCTGAGTCCACAGGTGATCCTGCAGCCATGAGAGAGCAAGATACAGCTCCAGAAGCAAACACACAAGCGCAAGGAAGGGGGCAAGAGCCACTGCCAGCCCAAAGTCAGCACAGGCATAGCAGCCTGCTGACACCACACTGACAGGAAGATAGGGCAGACCATGACCCTTCCCAAGGCAGAGAGCAGCAGCAGTTTGATGAGCACGCAGGAGCAGGGCACAGAGCCAGCTGCTTCGTATGAATAAGGCCACCTTACCTGTAAGTCTTGCAGAGCACAAGACGAGAATACACAGAGTCAAAGTCCCGTTCCACTTCCCGGCTTGCAGCCTAGTAGGGCAGAAGGATGATCAGTATATTCTGCCCTACGGCCCCCTCACCCCAGCCCTCTGGCAACACCACCCCATGAAGGGAACTGAGACATCCCACCTCTTCAATGAACAGCCAGGGATGGCAGGGCCCCCCTAGCAGAGATGGCTTCTTCAATCCATGCTCAAATATAGACTTCAAGGCTGGACACAGGGTCCCTCGCACCAAGTCCGTCACCCCTTCTGTGACTGAGTCATCTCCAGCGATGGAGTACTGAGGAACACGAAGAGCCAGCTCTCAGCATACTGGTGAAGGGGCAGAGCGCAGAGGTGGTCTGCTCACCTACAGCTTCTCTGCTGACACCTCTTCCCCTCCCAGATGCCCACCAGTCGCCCCACCCTTAACCCCTTATGCTCTTCCTGGCTCTTGCATAAGGCACCATGTTCAGTGCTTCTCCCCTGGGATTTGCTGGGACACCATGACCTTTGTGCCTAGGTGCTCCTCAGGAGACCACAGAGGTGACCCCAGCACCATCCTGGCAGCGTTCAGCATGTAGGAACTGCTGCGGTTTGGAGTGATGCCAGCTGAGCTAAGGCAAGAAGAAGGACTTGCTCTGAGGGTCTCTGGGATTCTGTAAGCTGCTAAAAGTCAAAGCAAATGGGGGTAGATGGGAAATGCCAGGTCAGCTGGTACACCACTCTGAGGTAGCACCCTAACATGCCGTTAGCATGAAGGGTATTCCAAAATCAGGATGTGCGGGATCCTCTCTATATCCACAGTTGGGAGGAGAACTGCTCAGGAGTACAGAGTGTGTTTATACACAGAGAGGTGATCTGCACCTCAGGAACCAGCCCTCAGAAGGGAGTGAGAAAGCAAGTGAGATGTCAATAGTGACATCTCTCTAGGGGCTTCTCTTGGGGTCTCAGGTCAGGCTCTGAGCCCTTCCTCACTCTCCAAATGCAGAGGAGGAGAGGAAGATTCTGCACTTCCCCTGCAAATTGCCTAGGCCAACAGTGGATGACATTTGTCTTCTATCCATGACCCCAGTCTTGGGGCCATATTGAGGTATCTGCTCTAAATAGGTGGCATCTCACCACGGCTGGTTGTGAGAGAAACTGAGATAGAGTGCCCCCTCGGGCACAGCTGCTCTGGGAGAATCCACTGTGGTCATGGGAAAGCAAGTGCAGGATCCACAAGCACAGCCTCAAAGGAGGAAGAGAGCAGAGGCAGGTGGGAGCAGGCAGAGACACTGCCCACAGGATCCTGCTGCTTTCTCAGCTTTCCTGGAGCTCGTCTCTAGGGGCCTTGCAAGGCCAGGCATCACGCTCAGCCACCCCCTGCAGCCCTCTGGGCCCTCACTCTCCACTCAGTCAGCATGAGGAAGCTGAGCAAACAGGTTTGGGAAGATAAGCTGCCTGATCACATCACTAAGTGCTCAACAGCCAGAGAGTGAAGAGGCTCAAGGAGGGAAATACATGGCCCTTTTGGACTATTTTTTTCAGCTATGACATGACTCTCTTTTTATGCGAGGTTGGTTTTTTTTGTTGTGTGTTTTTTTTGTTTAATTACCTCTTTGCTCCGCTCATCCAAGATCTCCACAAATTTTGCAGGAAACCAACCTACAAAGAGTGGACAGAGAGGTGAGCCTCACAGAGACACTGAGAAACCCCAACACAGACAAGACCAGAGCCCAGTGGAAGCTGAGAATAAATACAAGTTCCTACGGCCCAACCCCGAAGAAGGAAGAAGCAGCCTCAGTATCACAAGAATTAAGGTAACTGCAAGAGGAAGCCAATTGCAGCACACTGCCCACAAGCAGCAAAGATGACATGCACCCAGCCGCCCTGTGCCAGGAGGATGGAGGCTAAACTTGCTGTTTGCAAGATGTGACCAGGTAGCTGCACCACTGCTCTCATACCCTGCTTTAACATTTCCCTTGTCCCTGGCAGATGCTCCGGGTAACCAGCAGAACCTTTGCTGCAAACATGCCAGAGTAGTTGCTGTGGATGAATGGATGCTCCATATCTGGCCCCACTCTCCCCAGTGCAACCCATCCTGCGCTCACCTCTCAGTCCATTCAGCTCTCCCACCCAACAGTGCTCATCCTTCTGGGAAATGATCTGAAAAACAGGGAGTGGAGAACACTGGTTGAAGAGAGTGCAGTGCCAAGAGGGCTACAGCTGCCTATCTGTGCATGCACAAAGAGGAACTGCTTTCTTCTCAACTGTTCTGCCAATGTTCTCTTCTCACGTCACCCAGGGCTTCAAGGACAAAAAGCTACTGCAAACACAATGCTATCCCTATTTTCCCCAATTTCAGATGGGACACCCACAGCTAAAACACAAATGGATGCTTTTACAGTCTTACTGCAGCTTAGTGCGCAGTGCTAAACCAGGACCCAGGTTGGACGAAATCAATCTTTTGCTGAGCTGTGTGGCAGCCAGGAAAAGGGACTTTGTGGCTGCATTGACCCACAAGGTAACATTCACAGGAACATACTGCCTCATCCCCAGGTAGCCCCCAGAAACACCAACTGCTTCCCTTGGACTCCTAACTGGGCTCTGAGCTGATCTCCTCCTGTCTTTCCCTGCAGAAGAGGCAGTGCAGTGTCCCAAACAAGTTGGGTCTGCATGGTCTTGTCCTGGTCCCCGTGTCACAGGCTGACGCACCGTAATGATGTCATTCTTGCGGAAGCCCAGCTCATCGTCATCGTGGCGCTCAAAGTCCAGCAGTGCCTTGGCTCGTCGTCGTCGGTTGCGGGAACAGGCCACATAGTTCTCGTGGTCCCGCTGGTGGCTCTCCATGCTGTAGTCTGGAGTCAGATCCTAGCATGCATGTGGATGAAGAGCAAAGGTGAATGAAAACCAAGAGATGACTCCCAGCTGATCTGCCAAAGCTTGCATGCCTCTGTTCCCAAACCTTTTCCTTCTCCTAGCAGGCAGACAACCTCTCAGCGCAGCCCTCCTCCACCAGAGATGGGATAAGCAACCCTCACCCTCCACCCGTTCTACCTGGCGTGTTCTTCCTCAAGCCCACACACTTCAGAAGCATTTGAACAGCCCTGTCCTGTGATGGACACTCTAAACTCATGCCTGGAGCACACAGCAGAGCAGATCCAGCTGTTCCCACTCACAATGCTGCAGTTCTTGGGATCCACACACTGGAAGTGCCGTGCCACCTGAAGAATGGCCTCACGCAGGTCAGCCACCAGCTCTGTCTGCTTGATGTTCTTGGCTTTCAGTGCCTCCAGATCTTCATCCCCTGGGAGAGCCCACACAGCACAAGGGAAGGCAAACAAGTATGAGGTATTTATTTTTTTGTTAACATTTGAAATCACTGATTCTATAGAAATCAAAATAGCCTGACATTAGAAGTGCCTACACTAAGGCAGGTACTTACTGCCAATCTATTCAATAATGTAAGCAATCAATACCAATTCGACTGTCTCAAATTTTAAGGAACTGGTATTTCAAACCACATATGGAACTGGAAGATGTCATTTTTGATCTTTCTGGACAACTCAGTATAACAAGGTACTTGGATATTACTTTAGAGAAGTATCTACGCAGCATATAGAAAGCTGAATGGTAGGACACAAAACTAGGGAACTTTCAAAAATTCTGTTCAGCAGAAATTCTCCTGAAACTGAAACAGTTTTTGGTTGAACTACTTCTGATTTTTCGTACCTCACAGGCGAAGAGCGTATTTGCCACTGAGTCTTGAAAAAGATTTGAAAAACCAAGACAGCCCACTTTCCTGCGTCAGTCTAGAAGTCAGAGCCATGAGAGAAAAGCTCCCATCTACTTAAGACCTCAACCTCCCTAAGCACCAGATTTCAAAGGTTTTGGGTGTTCAGAAATGGCCATTAAGTACAAAGTAAAAGTTACCAAAGCATCTTTCAACTGTCACTAACTCCCCCAGCAGTTTTGACAACCCATCTCTATTAATTTATGCAGAAAGATACCTAATAGGATGGATTCTTTAGGCAGTTAATGCATCTGATTGCCTTAAAAATTAAGAACATGATGTCTGGGAACAATGAACCATTTGCTTCTTTTCTTAAAAAAAAATCAGTTTGTTTTACATTCAAAGTGCATACATACACATCTGTTTTTGCTCTCTCTCTAATAAACTGAAGATGTGGTAGCTCGATTAACAAAATCAACATTTAAAACAACATATTTTTCACTGAACTCCAATTTTTATACAAAGACAGCCTTTATGCAAGACCCCAGTAAATCACTGCCTAGCTAATTAGTACTCTGCTCATCTTCCAACAGCATTACGGAAACCAATATGAATAAAGTGTGTCCCGAGCTACGCAGCTGCTGCAACAGCTACGTACGCATGAAGCTTCTGCTTATCGAAAAGTGATTAGAAGTATCTTTTACTCACAAGTGATCCTAATTAAAAAGACTAAAATTTTAATAACATAAATAGAAGCACAAAATTAGATTTAAAATTATTTTTATAATTGTTTTCTGTTTGCTAAATTAAGTATTAGAGAATCAGACACACAGAGCTTAAGAGAAGACTGAACTTTGCTTCTGGACTAGAAAAATTGTAGGGCATACTTACTCCCAGTCCAAGCAACGAAAATTAACAAAACCTCCTCCTCAGTGACCAGGGGTAGGAAATAGAGCATGTAAGAAGCCTCACTACAGATTCAGAGATACAAAGATTGTAAATAGATACATGATCACGCAGACGGTGGGGATTCCCAGAAAATTCACATTGCTAAACCAGAATGTGACTAAAGAAGAAACTACCCAACCACAGCCACACTAGGTCCGTGGGCTGCCCTCATTTACATAGATAAATGATTTTTTTTTTTCTGTCATCATTTAGTTCCTTCTGGACGAAATACCATGCTCCTCCCTTTACACTCAGATCCATCCCGCTCAAACACGAGCAGAAGATGTGGGAAGCAAGTTCCACATCCTCCCACCTTAGAATATACATGATATAGAGGAAAGCAGCTGAGGTTTCCACCAGATTTCACCCCACTGCACCTGCCATGCCTGCACGTATGTTGCTAAAACAGGAAACCAGTGCAGGATCGGCCACGTGTGAGGAGCCTCTATTTTGAGCCTGCAAAGACTGACTAGCTGCACAGTTGTGCAGAGGACAACTAGCTCTCCTGCATTTCCTTGTTGCAACGCTCATCAGGAGCAACCTCAGGAAAAGGGCAACACGCACATCTTGTTCTCTGCCAAACTACATTTTGCTGTTTCTTCTTTCTGTTCCTTCATTAGAAACTCATCCAACTCCTCGAACCTCAGCTAGACAAAGCCTGGACCGACCTGATGTAGCATGAGCAAGAGTCTGGCTTTGAGCAGGAGAGGTTGGACTGCAGACATCTAGAGGTCCCTTCCAAACAGTGCTCCTGTGATTCTAAGACTCCTGTCCAAGTCACTAGTAAATCTCCATTCACTCTAAGGAAGAGAAATTAAATTCTGGGTAAGTTCTTACTCCCACCCAGGCAAGGGCAATGTACCAGTTCTACCCAGTAACTATCACAGGCAGCAGACTTTACAGTTGAGATTGTTTGACAGTTTCCAGTATAAGGTGAATTCATCACATCCAAGCTTTCTTTCCCCTCACTTGGGCTAAGTTTTCCATTCTGGTCATCTGCTGCAGGATGATAGCTTCTCTGTTTTAACCAATGTTTTAATTACTAGGAATATTAGTGATTAGTAGATAATAGAATATTAATATTAGTAAAGCCGTGACAGCGACTGTACCGAAACCCCACTAAAATGAGAAAACACTATCAATCATCTCAGTTCTACCATTGAGACGTTTTGAAGCTTGAACTTAAAATCTACCTTTGCGCGTGGGGTGTAACTTGCTATCACTTTCACAAAGCTACTCAAACTTGGTCAAGGAGGCTATCAGAGACACAAGGAAGACGCGTTTGTCAGCTAAGTTCCCCACTGGTTCAGTCTGTACTGACTGTATGATAACATTGCACACAAGAGGTCTGAGTTCAGGTTGCACAAGCAACTTTCCTGCATTTCTTCACTTCTGCATGCTTGACTTTACAGCTTCATTTGCCTTCTACCAGAACTTTTATATGTAATGCTGTATGTGCTTGAAGCAAGCCTGTGACAATATAACAGCTTCCTGAAGAACATCAGAAAAACTCTCGTCTGAAAAGATCAGTAAAACCCAACTTTAGATTTATTCAGGCCATTTCAACCACAACAGGAATACTACTTGAACCCTGTAAATTCAGTATGTTGTCTTCCTCCAGAAAAACAACTGCTGTGGTGAGATGTGGCAATTTCAAGAAAGCTAACCAGTTGCAAGGAAGGTGAGGACAGTGAGGCTTTCAACAGAAAGGGAGTCACACAAGCAAGTTACTGTTAAATCCATGCAAAACCTATTCTGGCCCTGTGCTTTCTGGACACACGCTGGCTTAGCTCATAAGCAAAGAAAATTAAGACTCAAAAGTGTTCACAACATCGAACTCTCAGAGTAAGTAAGGGGGAACATCAGTGATGTTTGCATTCATAAATTTTGATGGGGAATACACTGGACCATCCTGCCCTGTCTCATATCTTCAGAGATGTTCCTGAACTGAGCAGAGTAAGATCAGGAGACTACAATATCCAGCCTACGGACTGCATATGGCCTGCCAGAAAATGTGTTTGACTTGTAATATCCTTCTTGCACTGACCAACAGCTGGGCTGTGCTGCAGCCTGCTGTTAGTCACCATTCAAGGACTAACCATCTAACCTAAAGTTCACTTTCTGAGCTCAGACCAAAGCAAGCAAGTAGAAAATTGTCCTTTTTCCCTCTTATCCTTCAGTTCTGGCTCCCTTCTCTCCTCTTTCTCTGTCCCAGTGTTTCCCTGCTTTGCTCACTCCCCTCCCTCCTAGGCTGCTACATCCATCAACGCCACATGAAAGGCACAGGATTGTCCTTACCAAAAAGCAGAGAGGTGATGCCAGATTTCCTGCGCTGAGTCCTGCGCCGCACAATCTGAGGGAGAGAGAATAAAGTACGCACATTAGCAGAGATTTCAAAAATAAAATAAAGCAACCCTCCACACCAGTCAGCTCTGGGCAAGGGGTCCTGACAGCTACCACTGGAAGGGGCAGGCAAGTGAACTGGTAATTTTAAACAGGAGGCATTCTAGTTCTAATGCAATGAATCAGCTCTGCTGCTTGATCTGCTCCACGTGCAATGGGTTATTTATAGCTCAATTATTATGAAAGCATAATTGAAGATCAAGAATCAACCATGATTCGAGTGAATAATTTTAGATCTAATTCTACTTGTTGCCAAAAGCAGTTCTACACGTAATTATATACGAATTTCTAAGTGGATGCCTGTTACATTTTAGAATTGCAGGAGTGTCTTGTGATTAGCACACAGACAAGCATCAAGAATCTTCCACGCAGGCTTGACAAACAGGAGGTACTACATCCACAACTGTAGTCCAAGATGAAACACAGGTGCATTTTTTATTCAGCTTCTCGAAGGCTGCTGCTGTTTTCTGACTCTACCTTCCAGAGTTATTTTAGTGTATCGGTTTCTAACTAATGGATTAACTCCAGTTCCTACTCTGCATGCTCCAAGGAAATTCTGCCAAAAGCATACGTTGTTTCTTTTAGTTTCCATTAACAAAATGCATCACTTTCCATCATAACTCTCATTAATGAATTACAATCAATGTCAATATCCCTTTCACCTAGGGATTTATCAACCAGGATAGATCTGGCAGCATTTCATTAGTACAGACCTCCCCCGCACTTCCCGATACCTTTTTTCCACTGGATGACGCAGTCGTCCAGGAGCCAAAACCCTCTCAGATAGGAGGACCCCTTGCTCACAAAGGGCAATCAGGAGGGAACACATAACGGAAGGGTTAAAACAAAGCAGCAGAGGCAGATGGGACTCTGTGCACTCACTTTGGATAAACTGTTGACAGTGGTGCTGGAGTTGAGCAGCTGCCCCTGGTCAGCAATGAGGTAGGCCAGGTGTTTGCGACGCTGGGTCTCCACCGCCACATCTGTCAGCGAGCCCGCCACACGCATGGCTTCCCGCAGCAGCACATCTGCGTCTTTAATCTGACTTGGGATGTCTGAGAGCGTGTTGAAGATTGAGGCAGAGTTCTCGGACTGGATTAGCTCATCCTCCTGCAACAATGCAGTCATTTTGCCACACAGAACAGTGAGCATAACAGCGATGCTCTTGGGGCTGCTAGATGCAATTTTACATTTAGTATACAGCCTGGGCCAGAAACAATGCAGGTGCAACTAGGTAATTCCATAAAAACTTCAGTAGGAAGAGTCCAAGCTACCTACGGGAGGGGAACAGAATCTTTTACTACTCTACTGCACTGGGATCTGCCCCCAAAATTCTAGCTGGCATGTTTTTGAATCACAGCATCCATCATTGAAATGAAGTCAAATCAGCAAGGAGACAAACCAGAAGCTATTCTGCACCCACCGCCAGGACTGGGCACAGCAGGGATCTTGCTGGGGACAAGGGAATGGAAGCTGCCCGGTCTCACAAACTATACAGCACCTACCATGTCAAATGGTCCTCCACCTTGCCCTTACTTCCACCAGGCTCACCCTTGCCCTTCACCCAGTAAGCTGAACCACAGAATTATTTTTCGCATAAAAAGGAAAAGATTAGGCAGTTAAATGTAAGTCAGCCAAACCAAATGTAGTCAGGACAACATTAAACTCTTGGAGCATTCAACAGTGCCATCAAAAGCCTCTCAGAAGACCACAACCTCGGCTTTACATCTCTGCTCAGAGATGGTGCAAAATCAAGAAGTATCTTGGTTTAGGTAAGATGGACCCTCAGGTTGGGATCCAGGCTGAATAGAGGGGGGAAAGCTGATGGGGTTTAATTATGAGGGAACAAACAAAGTAGGGAGGGGAAACAGCGATCCCTGAACCCTATGAAGTGTCTTGGAAGTTCTTCACAGGCCCTAGTTCTGAGGAGGGCAGGAAGTCATCTTCCCAAGCACACTCCCAAACCACACACAAGAAGTGGATACAAAACCTTCTTGCTTTTAAAACTCAGAATTAAACACCGAAGTACTATAAAGGAGGAAGAGGAGGCAGGAATTACCTTCATACTGAGCATGCCCAAAGTGAGCTGAAACAGCACCAGAGAGCCCTGGTAGAAGAAGAGGTCCCAAATACGTAGCAGCAGCTTGATGTGGACAACACTAGCGAAAGAGGTGAGGAACCAGTGCAAGGTGATCAAGGAGAGCTCTGCGAATAAAGACACAGAAAAGAAACATGACAAGGGAAGTCAGCCAGCCGGTGAAGATGGACTCTCCTAAGTGCTCTCCTCCCAGCTCAAAGATGATCACGCACTGCCTCCAGAGCCAGGAGGTTTGCTCCTAGCCCTGCTGCTCTCCCTTTGTGAAACAAGAACAAAAATTTTTGCCTGCACATCACCCTGGCAAGAAAAGCTATGGCTCCTAGGGCACACTTACCAATGTCATGCTCCTGGAGCAGCTTGTCCAGGCGGGGCAAGTACTGCACGATGAGCTGTCGCAGGACACGCTGGTCAGTCTGCACGCCCATCAGGGTGGTGCTGAAGTAGGAGGCAGGAACCAGTTCCTCAATGATAGCGCACATCATCCAGAAGGCATCTTCCTCCTCCAAGAAGAGCAGCAAAGAGGCAGCCACCTAGAATTTTGAAGAAAGAAGAACTGCATGTCCTAAGAGGAGCAGAACTCTTTCTCCGCTTCTTCACATGGAGAGCTGGACCAGAAACTAGGTGACCAACATCTTCCTTCCTCCACAGCAGCTCTCCTGCAGTCTCCCACTTAAGTGATTTCTCCTCAGTGTAATGCCTGCCCCTCTCCAACAGATAGACCTAATTCTTCCGCATCTTTGGATGCACAGTGCTACTCTGCTCTTCCTTCCCTAGGGAAAACGTTCCATGTGGAAGGGATTTCCCTTCAGCTCGTCTGAAGGCCATAGTGTCTGGCAGCACTGCCTCAAATCACTTGCCCCGGTGTAGCCACCACAGACAAAACAATCCCCATCATAAAGACACTCTGAAAGCAGGTTACCATGCCAGTGCCTTGGCAATATCCAATCTCTGGGTAGAGCCAGGCAAGTCCCCGTAGTATCCTGCGTAGCCGTGGCACCCCGATACTGTTCATGTTGGAGAAGCAGGCATTGCTGGGCATCGTGCGGAGCAAGTCCTTTTCAATCTGAGAGACAGTCATAAGCAAGGACAGGGTCAGCTAGCAGCACCTGAACAATTGCCTTCTCCTCTCTGCACTTCCCCATGGCCCCCCGCCTCAGAGAACTTGCTTCCCCACACTCATGCGTAAGTCCTTAGGCATGGAAGATGGTTGTGTCCAAGCATCTGAGGTCAGTTTTTAACAGCCTTCACTGACATCTGGGAAAATGCCAGTGCAGACAGTAAATTGATGTCTCTCAAGAAGTACTTGCCTAAACTGAGCCCCTGGTTCCACCATTGAGAACACCAGGCATACTAGTTGGGAATTTCAACTGCTTGGATGTCAAGCAAGGCTTTCCAACAAACCTATCCGAGTAAGAAACCAACCACTTGGTCACATCTGTGACAGGGGGCTTGGAGGTGAACAGCCCACAACAGGGCTGTTGTGCCCTTGGGCACTGTTGTTCTTCTTTCCAACCATTTTGAACCTAGCTTCTTAGTGAGAGGTGAACACGTGCAGAGCTCAATTTCTTTTGCCATGGCCTTTGCCTCCTCCCACAAAAGGAGAGGTCAGAGGAAGAGGGAAAACACTCGGTAGCAGTCTTGTTGGTGTTTAGAGACTTTGTATTTGAGAGAAGAAACACAGTCCTTGGAGGCAGCTGCCACTACCTCAACAGAGGTGTATCTGTCAGCCTTTCACCCTTCACTTCCCTCAATGAATATCAGGATGTTTGCTGAGATGCCACTGCATCAGTCTTTTAGCCTGCAGGTAGCATGGGTCCAGTCCCTTCCCTGTTGTCCTAGGAAGGAGGGGAGCTGCACAGTTGTTATTCCAACAAAACAAAGAAGAAATATGCCCGACAGGATTAAGCTTTAGCAGGATTCAACCACACATGTCCTCTCAACTGTCTCTGCTGCAGGTATTAGGCAGACAACCCTTCATCCTCATGCAAATCTTACCCTTCTCCCCACTCCCTCCTGCCCAGTCAGCACTAGGCAGTACCTCCTACCTGTTTGGCAGCAATGGTTTCATCATTAGAGCTGTTTTTCACGATATCCCGATATGACATCTCTGAATTCCTCTTCTTCTGCAAGGCCCCTGACAGGCGCATCCACAGCTGGGGGGACAGAGTGAACAGAGATAGGAAAAGTCACAAAGACAGCCACAGAGAGCCATAATCTGGCACCCTCTCAACCAAGAGAAAGTAGTCTCACTCGACTGTCTCTTACTCCAGGCAGGCGAGTCTGCTCTGAAGAGGCAGCACTCTCACCTGTGGCCTCATGCTGTGCGGGATGCCAGCTAGCACCAGGGAGCGCAGCTTGTCTGAATGCGGTAGGGTGACCTCAATTTTGTCCCAGGTGAGGTCGCCCACATCATGGTTGTGTGTGAATTCCAGATGAGCCTGCCACTTGAGCCTCTGCTGTGGCTCCTCCGTCAGTGGGACTCCCAGGAGCTTGCTGGAGTTTGGCTCAGCACCATCTGCCTCAGCAAAGAGACGAGAATGAAATGGAGACAAGTGAGAGAGGGAACAAGGATAGGGCAGGGAGCAGGAAGGCCATATGAAGAAAGCACATTAAAAACATTCACGTCATCCACCTAGAACACGGAAAGGCAAAGCATAGTTTCTAACTGTCTTCTCCATGCAGCAAATTTTACGGTCATAAGCAAAAGGCACTGGGGCCTTGAGACTTAAGAAGCCGTTGGCAGGCTTCTAGTCTTTACTTACTCATGGTATAGAGCAGAGTGTGGCTGGAATTAAACAAGACCCCGGCAGCGGTCATCCTGCTGGGTTTTGTAAGGATCTGTAAATCAGGCTGACAAAGGCACAGCAAGCCTCAGAGGTGGCAACCATGCATGTTCATGCAAGTAACAAGGTGCAAAATGTTAACATTGGGAATGTTTAATCACTAAAAAAGCTTTAGCAAGGACACTTCCAAATTCACAATGAGAGAGCACCTTAACCTGAGGCCGGGTTTCTGAAATAGATACTTAAGCACAAGTACAGGTTTGATGTAAGGCACTCTGTCCTTCATCACATAACACATCCCAACAAAGCAGCCCAAATCCTTCTGCTGATTTTATAATGCACAAATCTATCAAATATTCTGGCTGAAGAAAATCGCCAGGTCATTGCTTCAAAGAAGATACTCTACGACTCAAGGTGCCTCAGGGCACACATGCAAACAACTTCTGCCCTTGCATCATATGGCCTGAGCCCTGTAAATGTCCTCTCAGAGCATATAAAGCAATTCCTACATTCCCCACTCCTTTCTCTTCCTCTTTGCAAAGGCAGGCAGATGTTGCAGTTCAATGCACAGCTGCAATAGCTCTCCATGTCTCCTTCTATCTGGTCTCCTGCTTCTATATCTTGCAGAAAAAGAAAGATGTGGGTTCTGCCCCAACAGTTTGCCAAGCTGCTAGGCTGGGCAGAACACACACTGCTGCCACTCATCTTGGCCACGAGTTTTTCAACAGACAGCACGTGTCACTGTGCCTGCTACCGGTGCTTACAGTAACCAGGACAGAAACCCCACTGCCAACTGGGAAAGTTGTCCTTCCCCAGCATGCAGCTGCTAGTGGAAATAAGAACTTCCCCTTAATTTTCCTCTCTCATTTACCCACGGCACAAGCACAGGGGGATGGCAATGGCTCTGCTGCACATTCTATGCTTCAGACTCCCATAAGGCCAGCACATCTAATGCACAGCCCTTGATTGCAATGGTAGGATACAGAAAGATGATTACGGGTGGGTAGATGAGACCTAGCACAGAAGAGCTGCAAAATCACCTGAAAGCGTGAGAAGGGCTGGACCCAGACACAATGAAAAGGTTAGGGATGGGACTGACTTTACCTTCCTTATCAACTCGGAAACCAAATTCATCATAACGGAACTCTGGCTGCTTGATGGATTCTTCTTTCTGGGGAAAGTGAGAAAGGAGAACAGATACTATCACCAATCTTAAATAACTGAACAGAGGCAGGTGGATATTGCCCCATCCCACCACTGCCCGCACTGTGCCCTCTGAGCAATGAGACTCCTTGCCCTTTTATTTTTGATGCCTCTCACCACCGTTCCCAGCTGGGAAGGTGTTGCATGCCACTCCCATCTTAACTTATCCACGGAAGCTGTGAAGCCCTGCTTTCCCACCTGTACAGATTTTCCCAGCAATCCCTTTTCCAAGCAAGGCTTGGTACCTCTGCTTGAGCACAGCATCATATCAAGATCAGAACTTCCCCACCTGGAGGGGCATGCAGCCCTCCTCATGGACCGAGGAACCCACACACACTAGCTAAAGTGGTCTCTACTGCCTGCATCTCTAATACACAGCAGTACTGTTACCTAGCGCACACACACTGCAAATCCAGCTCTCTCTATCGCTCCATCTCCTGCCTGTTGCTTTCAGATTTTCTCTGAAAGACAGCAGTACAACTGGGCTTTGCACCTGTGAAGCAAGCCCAAACTATAGGCCAAAGGAAATTAAGGTCCATGACCCAAATCTCAATTTTCCTCTTTTGTGCTCATGGTTGGCATCAGGGGATACACACTGGAGGTTACAACCAGGCTTTTTTAAAGAAATAAAACCCACAGATATCTCCTCTTTCTTGCAAGCCCACCTGCCCCTCCTGTGGGGTCTCTTCCAAGCACTGCACCCAGGCAGCACCCAAGAAGCGTGCTTCTAGCATAGCTCCACAACAAGCTTCAATCTGCTTCACTGAGCTCAATTGCCTTCAGCAAACACTGTGAGTTGCAAAATTCCATGGCTGTTTCCTTCCTTCCTGCTCTGCCCACCAGGTGACAAGTCTTGAGGCTAGCATTTCCTGCCATGCAGAAGCCATCCAGAGTAGCTTGACGGTGACACAGACTCCCTTAGGGTGTCAACATTTTTACAGTGGAGCAATAGTTGCAAAAGAGCGGGGCAATAATTCACATAAGTTTCTTTGTGCTTTGCAAGATCCTCTTGCAAGAGCCAGGATGCAGCCGCAAAACACATTAAGTTTAAATCACAAACAAGTGTCCACAACCGAACCACTGGAGGAAAAGTGCACCTCCTTCCTTTTCCCTGGGGCTTTCAGAGACCACCAGAAGCCCCCAGGGTCTCTTTACTTCTGTGCAGAGCCTGAGAACAACCCCTCCTTGCCCCACATTGTACCTGTGTGTATTTTGCCAGGATCTCCTGAGGCCAAATGCTGGGAGTGAGTGCTGAGAAGGGACCCCCAGCAGAGGGAGTGTGACGGCCTAAACAGAAAGAGATCAACATACAGCAGTGAAAACCTGGAAGGACTCCCTTGGAAGATGCACACTTGACACAGACTGTTTCAGCAAGTGAAGGACTCTCTCGGCAGTCTGTCACTACTACCCCTCTAGACATTGAGACAGCTTCCACTTCACCAACGAAGCAATTAATTTCAGATGGTTTTTTCCCCTCTTATCATCAAGCAAAAGAAGCAGAAACGCAAAACAGAGTTCCCTCTAAGAAAGAAACTTTTAGGGAAGATAAATAGTTCCATAGCATCATGTGATCTTCCCTCTGCTTGGAAAAGCTGTGTGGTCAGTGCCAAGCCAGGGGAACCATTATCAAAAAAATTATTATGGAGAAGTAAATGCCTCCTACAGAGGCGCTGACCCCAGCACCAGCAGCACTCAAGAGTTCCCTGAAACTGTCACCCAGGCACCAAAATGGGAAATCAGTGCCCTCAACAAGATGCTCAACTGCCTCCTGTGCTCCAGAAGAGCTAGGATATTGCCAGACCATGTATAGAGAGTTGCAGCAATGGAAGTATGCCTATCATCTTGGTCTTTTGTGTTCAAAATAAGCACCTTTCCAGTCTCAGGTAGTGGCACACTGAACAGCTAGCTTCCCTTAGAATAAATGCAGACATCAGGTTTTGCAATTGAAGGAGATAAGCATGTCCCAGGTTTTCCACCGTGCACATTACCAAGAAAAAGGTTTACTTGGCTTTGAAGTATAGTCTCCCTCAGGGTTATATGCCCTGAAATAACCAGCTGGACCAGGAAGCAATGTTTAGCCAAAAGTATGGGGTTGGAAAGTTGGCCACTGTAAGAAGGAGAAGACCTAGTTTTAGTAAAGGTTGTATCTCAGCAGTCCACAGTTAAACTCCAGTAATTCTTCAGCCTTCTGCCTGCCCTAGAGCTACCATTGTACAGTAAAAATCTCTCAGGTCATAAAGTGAGCCACTCACTTTGGGGCAAATCTTATGAAAAATGGGGAAGGCAGACTACATTTCAACCATCTTCCTCCTGTGTGTTCAATGGCTGAAGAAGCTTCTGCAGGCTTCAGCACAGGGTAGAATGAAGTGAGTTCACCCTGAGTGAAAAGGCAGCTGGGTCACAAAGAGTGGGGTCGTTTCCTCTCCCCCATTTGACTAGACAGTATGTGAATGTAAAGAATGGCTCTTGGAACAGTAACTTTCTTTTAATAAATTGCAGCTGAAGAAAGAACAAACAATCAAACAAGAAAATACTGTGTCCACTTTTGTCTGCTCACCTGACATTGCACTAAGTAAAGCTGAAGAGCAGAAGCTGTCAGCAGGTCCAGAAACACTGTTCTCAGAGATGAGAAGTCACTATCCTGTTATAAAAAGGAAAAAAAAAAAAATTGCTGATGAGAGAATTTAATTAGCACCTAAGAACATGGTGGGGGACAGACAGACCTCTCACACACAGCTTCCTCACAGGAAAATTAAATCCCTTAGTATTTAAGTTCCCCCACAGGAACATTAAATTCCAGAGACTGGAATTTCCTCTTGGTTCCACACCTATAAATCAGTTAGAGCACACTGTCATTTACCAAATTCCTTGTGACAGTAACAGCACTGCTGATTGAAAGAATGTCAAAAACCAGGTCAACTTTCATCATCTTTTCCATCACATATTGTGAGTCCTGTATTTAATTATGAATACTAAAAAAACCCACACCATACAGCATCATTTGCTGAATAGACTACCAATGGAGAAGGGACTGGAACAGTGAAAAGGGTTTAAGGGGGTATCATCAAATGTAAAACCCTGAAAGAGATTTTAGGAGTAGCATCACAAACCATGGGAGCAATATGTATTAGGTTGTGGAACACAGCTCCCTGAAGGGAGCAGGGAAAACTTCTGACAAGGATTTTCTGTGACAAACTGAGCTAGGATGTGAATAACATGCTATCAAGTACTTCTGCAATGAGCCAGGAGCCAGGCTCCTCTAAACTAAATCTGGTGAAACAGCCCACACAGCTCCTCTCCTTACTTTCCTGGTACCAGTTCACAGCAGATTTTTTATAGGGGTTTTCCAGGACAACAATGTAATAGTTCAGTAATCAGAGAGAGATTTTGGACTCCAAGATCAACCTTGTAACTGCGTGTGGGAGACAGCAAGAGCTACCTCTACGAAGCAGATAAAGCCAGTGCTGGGATATATCAGTCATTCACACTTACTTGGGAAAGAACCTGGGAGAAACTAACATTTGCACGTCTGGGATGGGTTTTCCAGCTTCCCCTTTCCAGTAAAGCTACTTATGACTGCAAACCACTAAAAGAAGGAACTCCAAGCATTCATGCAGCAGGTCCTGTTTGAGTTGCCTATAGTGCTCAGTAGTACAAGGCTATGTTGCCACTCCTGCCTTTGCATCTCCGTGAGCTTTCCAGCAACCACTCGCAGCCTGGAAGCAGCTTCCTACAGCACTCCAAGATAAGCAGCTGTAAAACGCTGCAAGAGCACAGAAAGCATCTGTGTCTGAGAATACAAATGATAAGGTTTCTTCCTCTCAAATTTAAACAGTTCTCTGCATGAGAAAGGCTGGCATAGATGAACAAACACTCTGATCTTCTGACACCAACTCTCAGGGCAAAAAGATAAAAAAAAAACAGAACAAAACACCAAGGAAAATTTCAGCTTTTATTTCTCAGAAGTAATGTTGTTCACACAATGGCCAGTCACTTACCCAGGAGTTCTGTAAACGCTCTTTTATGCTGCCCATCACTCTAGTCCCACTTGTTCTCTCAGCATCAACTTTTCCCTCAGTAGCTGAAGACATAACGAGGATTATAAAATGAGCACCTGCACACACATTTTACATGGGAAAGCACACAGCACGCACACCAAGCTGGTAAATCTGTTGATGATACTTATTGCCCTTCCAACATCACTGTGAATGTATTTTGGTGCTTTTTTTCAGGACTATCACTGCCCTGCGACCACAGCTGCTCTGTTCCGGAGCCTGCAATATGTCCTTCTCCCCTGCCCTCTTTCAGCCCAGTTAACCCTGTTTCCAATGACTTTTTTTTAGGAATGCAGTCACTGTTTCAGCCACATGGTACTTCTGCCATGCTTTTGCTACCTGTGCTCTGAATCCACGCCCAGTGCCTCAAGCGCGTGAACAGGGAACCCTCTCGGTCTCTATTAACCTTCATCGCACGCACAATCACAGCGGAACCAACCTGTTACAGAGGAGCTGGGCCAGTGTGTCAGACACGTAGATGAGAAAACTCCTCATAACAAGGGAATTAACCACGGTGCTCAGGAAGCAGAGCAGGAGAGCGCTGGGGCCGAAAAATCCCTCCTCGTCCCAGGACAGGTGTAGCAGAGGGGAACACCTTCCCTTGTCCACGTCATCACACGTTGTTGGCCTCTGCCTTGCTGGAGATTACTCCCTGCCTGCTACCTGCCCTCCAGTCCCTGACATTAGAGTGCTGAACTTGGTGGGCAGGTTTTTCCTGTCCCTGGTTCCTATAGAAACCTTCCTGCAAGCACCCGTCTGGGACCGGGCCCAGAGAGATCTAGAGAGGCTCACCTTGCTGCTGGCTCCAGGGTGTGTGGAAGGGCAGGGTGGGGGGTTTGAATCACACTGGGAGAAGGCTCCTGCTGCGGCACCAGG